CCAGAGACAGAGAAGCATCAATCAGATGCTCAAACCTCAGAGGGAAGGTAGGGGAGGGTGGGGGTAAGGGGGAGAGATCAACCAAAGGACTTGTATGCATGCATATAAGCCCAACCAATGGACACAGACATCAAGGGGTGAGGGCATGAGTGGGGGGGGGAGCAATGAGGGGATAAGGACACATATATAATACCTTAATCAATAAGGAACATAATAATTAAGTAAACTAAGCAGAGTGGTAGAAAGTGATAAATGCCAGTTGATAAGTAGAAAAAATAAAGAGGAGGTGGGGAGTGTGTCAGGCGTGTGGGAGTGGGCATGAAGGCTGTTACAGTATTAAATAGAGTGCTCCCAGTAGCCCCACTGAGAAGGTGGCATTTGAGAAAGGCTTCAAGGAGGTAAGAGGTGAACCGTGCAGACACCTGGGGGAAGAGCATTCCAGGCAGCGGGAACAGCCAGTGCACAGGCTGTGAGGTGGGACCTGCTAACCATGATCAAGGAACAGGAAGTTGGCCAGTGAAGTTGTGGCTGAGTGAGTGAGAGGGACAATGGTAAGGGGCGGGGGTGGGGGGGTAGGATCAATCACATAGGGCCTTGTCCCTCCTTTCTCTTCTTACCCTTTCTTACAAAGTCACTGCACACAGTGGTTTCTGGAAAGCAGACCCCATGCTGGCAATCATGCAGAGCAGGGCTGGGACCAGGGAGAGGCAAGTGAGGTGTCCAAAAGGGAAATTTAAAGAGACTCATCCTCAGGTGTCAGCTCTGCATTTACATGACATTAAATTTTGCATTGGAGGTGCCTCACCCTAGTGCCAGTCCTGTTGTAGATGATTCCTGCTCTGTAGATTTGTCCACAAAACAGGCATTTCTACACCCCACACTTATCCTTGTCCACCACCACTACCCATATCTTTGCAAGAATGATCTATCCTGCAAAAGCATATCAGTAAGAAGCATGGCTGGGCAAACCAACCATCAGGGGATATGGGTTTGCTGTTCTCTTTGGCCATCCGATTCTCCCAGCTCCAGCAGGGAGAGAACGTATTCTGGGCTAGATTTAGCCTTTAGTCTCTGAATCTGTCAGCAAGCATGTGGATGTGGTTGAGAAGTTGTGCCTCTGGAGCTGGGGAATAGACATTCAATCAGCCTGTGGCTCTGAGATCACAGGTAAGTTTGAAGAACCACTTGTACGGTCGAGTGCACAGGGAGAGTCACTCTAAGCCGACTTGATGGCCGAGGCCAAAAAGTCAATGCTCCACATAAAACAAATATGCCTTAGAAGGAATTCAAAGAACCTTGAGGAGTATAAATTTTTAAGAAAAGATATTTCCTTAATAAAAAAAAATGAATTCACATGAGTAAGGGGCAAGGGGGTCAGTGGCCTGTCTTGGAAAGGGGTCAGTGCACAAGGTCATTAGTCCCTTAGCTCAATAACGGTTCCATCAGGATCATCTCCATCCATCAACAGACAGATGAGCCCAAATTCCTCACCCCACATCAGGGTCATCTGTCCTCTACTTTTTCTTAAAGAGTTCAACCAGCCCTGGATAGTTTTTCTCAGTGGTTAGAGACTGGCCCATAACTGAAGGGTCACGGGTTCAATTCCCAATCATGGGCACGTACCTTGGTTGCAGGTCAATCCCTGGTCCTGGTCGGAGTTCGAGCAGGAGGCAACCAATCAATGTGTCTCTCTCACATCGATATTTCTCTCTCTCTCCCCTTCCCTAGTCTCTTCCACTCTCTTAAAAAAAAATCAATGGGGGAAAATATATCCTCACTCCTGGGGTGAGGATTAAAAAAAAAAGGGTCCAACCAGATTGGGGTTGGTATCTCAGATGTCTGACAAAAGACATTGGCAGGAACTGGGAGGGTGGGAGACTATGAAAATGAAACAAAAAACCTTTGATTTTCCATTAAATAAAACAAAAAGATCTTAAGAGTGGTCAATTTTAGGAGCAGATACAACATTTGAAGATTTTGATCAGAATTAAGATAACCCCATATTAAGCTTTGTTGTAAAATTTAGTGAAGGGTGCAATTTTTTTTCTCTAATTATTGTACTGCAGCTTCAGTTTAAGAAATCATGAAAACTTAGATTTCCTAGACACAACATATTTAACACATTTTAAGGTGCTAGTGATATTACTTCTGAACACATTTTTTATTGCTGTCAAACTTAATACCTTTGATCAGGACACCATTTACCCCAACTGAAACCTGTCTGTTCTTTAAAATCATTTATCTTTTTTGCTGCTCTCTGAAGTGGTAGCTGTTTATCACACTGTGAATGCCCGAGGCCTAAAAGCTGGAGACTGGGAATTTGTTGCTCCTAATGCTACTTCTGAAACATAACTTCCCAATCTTATTTTAAAATGAAACAAAGTTCTCATGAAGCAGTCAAGCCTTTTTTACCATGTTCTCACATCTGCTATCTACTGAGCTCCCCCTTATTCAACAAAGACTTTGGCAAGTGGCTCACTGTCCTTTTCTTCTTCATCCAAAGCTTTGTGTCTAATCTTGGTGACATAAACATCAAACTCATCCAATATTCTAGCCTCTCAACGCTCCACCCTCCCCATTTTCAATGGCCCTGTTGCCACTCTACCTTAGTTCCCCAAATACCTGGGTTCTGTTTTTTGGTTGCTTAGGGCAAGAGTTAGTGACCTAGAGTCAGTTCTGCCCTCAGAACCAGGCAACCCCGGCAATGGGGCTCACACGATGGGACCTGTGCTATAGGGGTTGTCCTCTGGCCCTTCTCTGCTAATTCCCTTCCAAAGATGTGAGAAACCTGAGACAGCCAAGAAAACGTGTAAAGTCACATATCCCCTTTCTAGGTCACTTTCTAGGTACCCAGGACCCCAGATATTCCCACCTAAGTGGCCCTATGCTCCTTGAGAATTGTTCTTTGCAGGAGGAGGAACTTCAGTGTCTAAATGCATGAATGTGGGACTCTTTATTCTGTAGGATGGGTAGGATGGAGCCATAAATGGAAAGAAGGGAAATGGCTATTCCAGGCTAATAAGAATGGCTGATGCTTCTTATAAATTACAGCTTTAGTCCTGCCTTCTAGGTAAGATAAGATACCTAATCATACAATTGTCTCTGCTTCCTGACAGAAATCCACAGAAAAACCCTGCTTCTTTGAGCCCTGCCCCCTCAAATCACCTACTGCATGCCCAAATCCTGTAGGTCTTCTTTAACACATTTGTACTGAGACACCACAGTTCCCATGACGTGTGTGCTTCCTTGTTGGGTAAGCCAATAAACCCAACTTTAACTTACAGGTGTGTTCTTAGGGTCTTTGACTCCCTAGGTACCAATGTGCTACAAACTGGCATGTAATAGTCAATATTCCATTCTGGCATCTCAGAATAAAATAGTGTATGATAATTAATATAGGCATTAATATCATCATCATTATCATCATCTAGAAAGCAAAAAGCTAGAGATACATGCAGTAATATTGATGAAATCTCCCAATGATGCAGAGTGAAAGAAGCAAGAAACAGAATAATGCACACTAGAGTATGAGTCCACTTACATCAAGTTTAAGAAGTGGTGACACTATGTTGTTTAGAGCTGTACATAAACTAGAACAGCTCTAAAGAAAAGCAAAGGGTGATCACTGTAGGGGTCAGGAAGGTGGTCTGGTGGTCTTCTCTGGGGTAAGGAGGTCATTCTGATGGAAATGGGTACATAAGGTGTTTCTGGGATACCAATAAGTTTCTATTTATTGATTTAGGTTACATGGCATAAACTTTATATCCATTCATTAATATGCACAAATAAGTTGTATGTATTTTTATGTTACATTTCACAATGTTAAAATGCAAGAATAAGAGCGCTAAATACACTGGCATTTCTTTTCATAAAACAGCTTAGATTTGGTTAGTAAGAGTCAATTCATTACATTTCACAATGTTAAAATGCAAGAATAAAAGAATAAGAGCGCTAAATAGACATAAAACAGCTTAGATTTGGTTAGTAAGAGTCAATTCACATGGTGCCCACTACCCATGAATAAACTGCTAAACTGTAACCTCTGAAATGGCAGAGATGATTAAAGGCCTATGGACTTAACTGTAACCACTAGGACTTTCTACTTTAGGCCCTCTCTTAGCAGTAATCATTCCCTCTACCTTGAAGGATATTTCGGTCGTCATGGTGAACCCATGGGTGATGACTGGTTCCTCCTCTGCAGTCCGTCCTTTCCAGCAGTCCAACTCCACACAGCGACAACCAGACAGGAGCACTTGACGGTACATCTCGACGGAGGAGTTTCCAGCCAGCTGGCCAGCTGTAAAACACCAACAAAATGAACCCCAGAATCCCATGCAGCATAGCAGACATTGGTGGCTTCCTAGACAAGCTCTTCAACAATAAGAAAACCACAGTGTCTAAGAGATGGAATAGTTGTTCTCAGCCTTTCTTCTGCCTCAACATACCAGAAGGTAGTGGGACAATCCTTAATGCAGTTGTGACTCCCTCGCAGTGGTTTTGGGGAAGAAAAAATATAAGAAAGAAAACATTGTAACAATAGCAATAACTCATTTTTATTAACTTCTTACCATGTGCCAATTATAGTTTTTTGAACCCTACATGTATTACTACATTTGTTACAAAGATTTCTTGGGCTTACTAACTTTAAAAACAAACAAACAAGCTTATTTTCAGATAATAAAAATGGCATAGAGGAATTCATTTACCCAAATTTCTGAAGCTAGTAAATGGAAGACCCAGGATTATAATTTCAATATAATTCTGTCTTTCTATGAAGGAGTACTGTTGACAGGTTATTATTATATAAGTCAACCCCTCTGTCATGCTTGTGCAAGTCACAAATGCTTAGAAAAGCTAAACATCCTCATCTCAAAAAGTGCTCTTTTATAGGAATAACTTTAAACTTGACAAAAGAAGTGAAAAACTTATACTCAAATAATTATAAAACATTGTTTAAAAATTAAAGACAACCTAAATATATAAAAAGACATCCCATATTCATGGAGTGGGAGACATAGTATTATGATAGTACTACTCCCCAAATAGACCCAAAGTTCAATCCTGAAGATTCTAATATAATTTTGTGAGCAAATATCTAGACCTTCCTGCAATTTGATCTCTGGCCCTGCTTGAATGACTAAACAGTTCTGCAATTTGAATTCTGACTATTTACATGAGGACCTGCATTCCCTGCATTGTCCCTTTAATCACAAAACTTATTATACCAATTTATTTTGCAGGCTTGAAGGGAAACTGAGGCATTGGCTCATGCCTTGTGACTTCCCCCTACTGATCACGACTTGTGACCTGCCCCCTGCCGACCATGTTTTATGATTCCAATCTTGGCCATATCTCATGACTCTACCTGACAATCTCTATTCTCCTTGCACATATTCACTGTTTTGATACTTGCCCCAACCAATCCCCTTAAAGGTCAGCTCACTGTGCCAAATGCACTTAAGTCCTGTGCCCTACCCCTTCCTCTTCAGAATGTACTTTTGGTCTATGCTGAAGGCTACCTCTCCCTGTAAGCCATAGATGAATCTTTCTTTTGCCTGCTATAAGGGTCTTCTGGAATATCTATTGACAATTTTCATCAAAATCCTAGCTGGCTTTTTGGCACAAATTGACAAGCTGGTCCTAAAATTACTATGAAAATGTAAAGGGCCCAAAATATCCAAAACGGTCTTTAAAAAATAAGAACAAAGTTGGAGGGCTCCCACTGCCCAATTTCAAAACTTAACTGTGAAGCTATAGTAATCAAGACAGAGTACTGGCATAAGGATAGACATATGGAACACTGGAATATAACTGAGAGTCCAGAAATAAACCCTCATGTTCATGGTCAATTAACTTACAACAAGGGTGCCAAGACAAGACCTTGCAGAGAGAATCATTCTTTAAATAAACAAATGGTGCTGAGGCAACTGGTTAGCCACATGTGAAATAATGATATTAGACACCTATCTGACATCATATACAAAAACTTGAGATGGATTAAGCTTCTAAATGTAAGTTTTTAATAAAAACAATGCTCACATAGCTTTAAAAAATGTAGAAAACTCTTAAAACATCAGGTAAATCTTTGTGACTTGGATTTAGCAGTGATTTTGTAGATAAGAGACCAAAAGCACAAGCAACAACAACAAAATAAATAGGTAAACGTCATCCAAATTAAAAATCTTTGCGAACAGAACCGAAATATTCCCATGAAGTGATGAGAATTGTAATAATCAAGGCACCTGAGAAGTCCTGGCAGGAATGAAAGCCCAACTATTCCTGTTTCACTTGAGAAGTCACCAATTTCTTGACAAATTATTTTTGTAAGATTAATAATAAATAACTTTTAAGACAAGCCCACCACCAATACACAAATGGAAGTCTGGTTTTCCACATTAAAGATTTTCTCTGATTTATACTCTGTAAGCCTCCATCATCTTTTAAAATAGTGAGTTTAAAGATGGCATTGATGAAAACCGTTAAAATGATGTTGAGATGGACAAGATATGCCTGCTGGAGACAGGGAACAAAGAAAATGGATGTCACTACACCCAATTACCAGCATAACAAAAGGGTGGCACTCTTGAGTTCTGAAGGGCCCTAGTAAATGCACTGAAAGGTGATTGAGTAGGCTTGCACAATCACTTTTCTCTACTGGAAAAATAGGGCATTTTATCTCTTTTATTAAATTTAAAAATTTTATTGTTGACACTATTACAGATGTCGCCCTTTTCCCCTCCCTTTGCCCACCTCCAGCCAAGCCCCACACCCTCCCCTCCACGAGATCCTCACCACACTGTTGTGAAAAATAGGGCATTGGAAACATACAAATGTGCTTGAAAAAGCAGAAATGCTGACCAGATAATCTAGAAAGTTCCTGGTGCTAGATAATCAATTTGCCATTTATAATTGCCTCAAAGTTTGTGGAAGTAAAGGTCTTTGCTGCATAAAGGGAAAGGGGTTAGTGGAAGTGAAATGGAAAAGACAGTTTTTTACCTGGTAAACTTAAGGGAGGGCTACTTGCAATTTCATTTATTATTTAAAGAACAAATAGAAGGAATTTAATGTACTTTTAAAATGTTGGCCAGTTAATGTTTTGAAAGACATAGTAAGGCATGGGCTTGTGAGATGCAAAGGAATCTGAAAAAACAACAACACAAAAAAACCTAAAGAATGGGAGGTGTGTGGGTGTGTGTTGTGTTTATTGTCTAACACCTAAACCCAACAGAATCCCTCCAAAGTAAACTTGTTCATTCTTACAATGAGTAATCTTTTTAGACATGGAAGTCTCCCAACAAAAGCATATTTTGAGAAAACTCACATATTTCCAAAATTGTCCTCTTCCTTGGAATGCCTATTAGGTTCCTTCTATGTTTTTCCTTCATTTATGGGGATTTTTTCCAAAAATGTATATTAATATTCTCCATTATTCTCTCCTTTTCTGCCTAAAGCCTCAAAGCTGGCTTATTTTTTTCCCCTCTAGTTCCTAACTCCTCATTCTTAGATCCCATGTCCCGTTATATTTTCATTTGATTAGATCCAATAAATACAGCTTCTGGGGCCAGAGGATTGCCAGGGGTGGGGATTAATAATATGTCCTGAGTCACTCAACCCTTGTGATTTCTGAAACTAGTATCTGACATCATCTGCCTGGCTGTGAGCACCCCCTGGAGTACATTCCATGCCCAAGATGGAATTTAGGAGCTGAAGCTCCATGGAGATTAACCCCTAATGTTGCCCCAAGTCATAGCTCTGCAACTTCTCACTTGACTGCATTCATTCTGGGCAGCTGGCTACATTCACTTGAGCTTTGTCTCAGATTACCCAAGGCATGCAGGATGGAAGAGACCAGAAAATTGAAAATAACAATCCCTCTATTAACACAGGCTTCTGAGGAATTTCTCCTCTTGCAAAGGGTGATGATTAATTGTGTATATTTATATTTAACATTATTTATTGTCTTCTTATCAATCTCCAGTGGAAGAAGATTCCAGAGTGTGATTCATTTGTTAATTAAGTGACCTCCTTTAATAGGCACTGTCTCCTTTAATAAATGGAAATGGGGACTATTTCTCTTTGCTTTCAAGGCAGTCAGAGCCATTCAGGGTGGGGCAAAAGTAGGTTTAGAGTTGTTCCGATGGAAAAATAATACAGTAGTTAATAACGAATAGTATAAGAATAAAGTCTGTGTTTCTCCTACTTACAAACCTCTTTTTGCCCCACCCTGTAATCCCACCTACCCTTGAGAGAAGTGTCTAAAATACAAAGCAGGTTTTGTTCATCTCAACTGTCTCTAGGGGCACCAATCTGATCTGATCTTTTCTATAGTGTCTGTCTGCAGCCTCAGAGAGACTATGAAACTCTCTTGAGCATAGATCCAACTGTCATAAGATGGCTTAGGTAGGAAAGTGGGAAAACAACTTTAAATGTGTGCCTTACTAATTATTAGAGTCTGTGCATATTCCCACATACATTCTCTGTGGGATACAAAATACTGGGGATATAAAATGACATGAGGCATACTCCCTACCTTCACCATCTAGGTAGGGAGGCAAGCACAAATAAAGAAGTTTCTTATGTGCCAGGGTGTTTCAACTCACCCTAAACTGTGGTTGCCCTTTCTTTCTCTTCTTCCTCTTTCTCTTTGCCAACAGAATTTTCTATTTAGGTTCTATTGTGCTTCAGCTTCCCCTCCCCAGACCTGGGGTAAGTATTAATTCTTCTCAGCCAGTCGCAGAAGTTCTGTGGCCCATGTTAGTGGTTCAAGTGGGCATTGCTGTGTGGTGTAACTCTGAGCTATATCTAATAGGACATAAAGGAAAGTCTACTTGGTGAGGGGACTTCACTCTTACAAAGGCTCACAAGACAGGGACTTGCCCTGTGTCACATGTGGACCTTATTTCACAGGGAGACAATATTCAGGGTGCGCAGTCATATTGAAATCATAAGGGAGCAAAAAGATGGAAAGCATCTGGGCCTCCCATGACATCAATAAATACCTGATTTAATCAATGGTCAACCAGCTTCTGGTTGCTTTTGTTGTGTGAGGTAATAAATTCCCTAATAGTTAAGCCATTAAGTAATAGTATCTTAAATAAACCAGCCAAAGTAAGACAAATACCATATGATCTCACTTATATGTGGAATCTAAAGAACAAAATAAATGAACAAACAAAATGGAAACAGACTTATAGATACAGAGAACAAACTGATGGGTGCCAGAGGAATGGGGGGTTGTGAGAAAGGGTGAAAAGGGTTAAGGGATTAAGAAAGTACAAATTGGTACTTAAAAAATAG